CAACAGTTGGTTTTTTGCACCGCCAAATTTGCCGAGACGCGAATAGGCGAGAAGTAAGGACAATTCCACCGGATAGCAGAGTCTGGTTCCATTGGTCGAAGGTGGTCTGTTTAATCATTTAGTTTGAACAAACGTTAAAGTGCAAATGCAACGTAGATTCATAAGTGGCTACTCCATCAGCGCTGGGCGAGGATGAGCGGAAGTTATATGAGTGCCGATCTGACAACGCATTCCGTTCCGACAGAAGCTGCAGAGTCGAACACCGAAGTTCTTCAAACATTTTGGCCGTCCATTAGACGCAAGCGCGTGTGCGCCATAGAAGCTATCTGTCTTTTGTTGAATTATGTTAAAGTGGCATAACTGTATGTAGTTTATTAGATTTGCGAGTTCCAGCCTGCAGATTCAAATGAATTTCCGTGGTCAGGATTGGCAATCGACTAATCGTTGTTAGTTCCAAAGATTTTTACTCATTAATTTGCATCGCACGTCACTTACCTATGACGGACGGATTGTGTCGGAAAATAGGAGTAGCAAGCTATTGAATCATTCTCTGAAGGTATATTCATGTGAACAATTAGATACTTCGAGAAATCTACTCAGAACTAGGTCAAGGTCTTTGGGAACGAGTCAATGCGTATCCTGCTGATTTGCTAACATCTTTTCTCGAAGAACTTGAGATTTTCCAGTATGTGCATACATGTAAACGACGACATAAATAATTAAGTTTACATGAAATTACGGAACGATTTTCTGCAATCGGAGACCAACCCACACACATGGCACGGAACTTTCCACTAATAGTGAGCGCTCTTCAGTCAAATGAGAACATATAAGGTGTACTGAAAGTAATACTGCATTGTCCAAATACAATAAGTTTATTTAAAAAGTGGAAATGTGGACACCATGACAGTTCGCATCAAATGCGTTGACTTAATTAAAGGAATTATATGATGGATGTACATATAATAGATCGATCAAGTAAGACTTAATATGCGAAACGGCGTTTAAATGAACCCCTTTGATGATAGTTCTCAGCATTAGTGCTGTAACAGGTTACCCAAGTGCCTCACACTTGATTATGTGCTTTAAAAGGGTTTTGAGAGAACTTTACGCGATGTGAGGCCAAGAAAAAAACGTTTACATAAGGATACATATTCAGAGGTCCGATGTTGACTCAGATATTGGAATATAATTTGCATGCGCAGTCTTAACCACGCCGTATTTTTTGCTTTAAAAAACATTTTCCCTGTTTCTGGCGACAGTAGAGTCCCTTGAATCGCACGGCATCTTCAAAATATCAGAGCTTTTAAACGTGTGCCAGAAATGGTAGCTTCTGTTACCTACAGATATCAGAATATTCTAAGTAATACAGATGCTGAGGACTTTGGCAATGTTATTTTTATGCCCATGAAGGGTTGGGTCGTATTTGAAAATCAATTGGACACGAATTCTAAGTGCCAATGGAAAAAGATGTTCACAACAAAATTATTCGATTGTTAGGTTGTTGAGTATTTTTTTAATGTGCTTCCTCACAACGTGCCTTATAAGGATATTTTGACCATGTGAATCTTTTTTAAGGCAAAGTCAAAGAAAACAGCAGGACATTTCTTCCGGTCCCAAATAATGCTTGTCACTTTTCAAACGGGGATGAACATTCCCCTTTCCATTTATGTGGAAACAGTTTTCGTTCTTGTAAGCGGACTACAGAGTGGCCATGTATGTATCGAGGTAGACCTCAGTCAGTTAGGTCTGCCCTTGCTCCGTTTCCGAATTTCAGATTAGCCGATGCTAAGCCTCACAAAGACGCATTTGTCATATTCTTAGAAATTGAAATTGGGACTTGGGTGTAGGTCTTTTTGCTCTTACTCATTGAATAATTGTATATGCACGGAAAGTACATGTGTGCTATGGCAGGAGGTTGCGCCCACATGTTTCTACTGTTTTGGGACATAAAATTCCATAGCAATAAAATTTAGAATTTCTGAAGAAGAAATAACGTCTGCGTTTCTGCATACAGCGTGGTTCAGTGCATCTTTACCTATTTTACGCTGAATGGAAAATTCACTTTTATGTCGACAGTGGTAATTTTGGTAAATGTTTCTTAATCTGATTAATGTTCTTTATTAGATAAAAATACAATTACCTGTAGATGTGATCTAGGACAGTTACTAGCATCTATACTTGTCTAAGTGTGCGCAACATCCATTTTGGCTCAAAAACTGAAAAGTAATTCGTCGTCAAAATAACCTACACACATTTCCTAAATGATTAAAAGGCACTTCCAGAATGCTTTCAGTCAATAAAAGAAGCGTGTATCGTTCGAGGTGTTACATAACTGCTCATCCACATTTTGGGCATCGCGCTGAATGATTGTTTCCAAAATAAAGTCCTGTAATTTGTTGTAAAGACCCTTCTAGTTGCATTCCCTAAAGTGCGCAGGATTATACGTTTTTACAAGATCACTATTTATTAGCCCATCTTGGACTAACAGTCGCAAGGCCGTTAGCGGATTCAATCAGAAGTTAGTATTTTTTGGCGTCTTAGCAGTATTCACATTCTAAAAAATGGTTGCTTTCTTACGACCGATGGAGTGGATTGGGTTTTAACCCTCGCCGAATTGTCAGCGAAGGTTTTGTGATTTTTCAATATCCTCAGTCGACTGTATAAAAGGATGATTCCCGTGGTCTTCAGTTACCAATCCTTCTAAAAAGACATTTCTAGAAAAATATATCTACACAGAATTTTAATTCGCTATGCTTCTGCAGAATACGGTTGAAGTGGTAGTAAGGGTCTCATTTAAATGCAAAATATAATCACCAAAGTAAACAGTTGTCCATAGCATAGACATGCGATGAACACTATCTTATTTAAAAGAAAAACGCCTGTAAGATTTTCCCTGTATAAAGCATTTTGCCAAGATGCTTTTCAGCTAAATGTTCAAATAACTCATCCCCTTTCGATACAGAGTCGAAAGATCATTGAAATATTTTGCTCATATTCTTCGTTTCTGCTTTAAACGAAAAAACTCTTTCCTCTTCAGCTCGGCAGCCTTTTCGTTTTTTGTCTGATCCTTCGCCGCCAAAATACTGAAAACAGTCTCAAACGGCTAATATGGTGTCTTGTCTGTTCATAAATTACACATTAGACAAGACTAATTTGCAAGCAAAGTGCACTGCATTATATTTTAATTTTTACATTGCCACCTACGGGTGGCTCTTTTGCGGTTGTCTGTGCCACATTTACGTACGTATGGAAACTGCGGGCTTGGTTAAGCAAGCGGTTTCATTTCATATGTTTGTTGACTTTTGCGGGTTAGCAATATAAAGATTAAAAATCAGTATTTATCAGAGTAATGAAAATTCCCTTCTTGCTAAAAATGACATATTTACCTAAATCTCGCCTCATTTTATTTACTTTGACAAAAAATGAAGCTTTTCTCTAGCGGAATTTGTTTCGCTGAATCATTGTCGTTCAAGTTGATATCTACACTAGAGGAACGCAGGTAACTGAGTAGATATGTTATATTACGGTTCGTAACATAAAAATCCAAACTATAAAGTAAGGCTAATTTCTGTTAAAACCACTGTGCATTTCGTTAAAAACCGTCTCAGAAATTTATTACGCCTGGGAAGAAACACTTTTGCTTTAAACGCAAAGCTAAATGACAAAAGCTTCCAGTGAGCTGCCGGGAACTGGTAATCCGGATCTCGATCATTATATCCCATCACTCTCATTGCTTAATCTATCACGCCACGGCAGTTCGACTGCTGAGGACGACAACCACCGTGTGATCCACAGCATTGTGGGATCACGACGGTGGTTTGTGCGCTAATTAATTTACAGTTGTAGCAGACTTTCGCGGCGTCTACTGCACTCTTCTCCCTCTACCTCTTGGGCCAGGTGACTAGACAGAGGCACAACGACCGTAAGCGGACTCAAGCGCGGTGGTCAACAAAAGGGAACAACTCGGCTACGCGTACAACACGCGCCTGGCCAGCATAGGATGGGCCAGGTTCTCACGGAATCAAGAGGCGTGAGTCGGAATTGGAGTGCTATAGAGGCCACATTGAGAGGGAGCCACTAAAGCTGGGTTTCCCATCCTGGAAGTATCGCGTTAACTGGTTAGTCGGCAGTCACCGAAGCCACGCATTTTAGTGCGTAGTGATAGTTTCAAAGCGCGTTTCAAAGTGCTGTGGGAATGGAAGTCCCCAAGTGAACCTCATCCGCTCAGTCTTCCCCCGTGCACTAGCCCGCTGTCTGAGCCGGCCAGCCATCTGATGCTGGGACTGAGTGTAGTTAGCTGGCGTGGCGTGCACCCACGCCTAGGCGTGGCATTCGTTAAGGGATGCGCGATCCTGTACGGCCTTACTAACGCGTGCCGTGCCCCACTTCAGTTCCCGTGTTGTTCCAGCGCATCATTTGCGTGACCTGTTGTCCCAGAAACGAGAGGGTTGCAACTACTATTTATGCATATATGGACGAGTCTGCTCAGTGGCCTGATCGGTGAACGACCCAACCACCATTTACAAACGTAACGTGGACGCATACTAATACAAATAAATAATGGATATCCTGCGATAAACAAGGCTGGGTGACGAGGCAGTAGTGGAGTTCGCTTAGATGAAGGGTTTGTAATGCATTTGATGGACACTGACTGATTCATCTGTACTGTGCGCGTAGGCGTGTATGTGGTTCTGATCCCAGATGGTGGTCAGGGTATAAGGGGGTGAATGATTCCCGGATCGGACGGGGCCCCTGCCGAGATCTAAAAGCACGGTGGCCCCCAACTTATGGAACACATGATGACGCTCTTTCAGGAGATGTGGCATCAAGGAAAAGTTCCTCAGGACTTCAAGGACGCCACAATCGTCCACCCATACAAGCGGAAACGGAACTGGGTGGGGCGAGGTGGGCTGGTGGAATAAATTCCGCGGTAATTTATAGCAGGTAATCTTGCAAGTACATATCATCAAATTCTCGCGCCCACCCTCTGCGGTCTCATGTTCTCTGCCATGTTAACGGACGTCTACCGTTACGAACGCCCTGAGATCCGCATCGCCTACAGGACGGACGGCCAACTCCTCAACCACCGGCGGATGCACTTCCAGTCGCGTGTGTCCACAACCGCCGTCCACAAACTTCTCATCGCCGACGACTGTGTCCTCAACACCACCTCTGAAGGGGACATGCACAGGAGCATGAACCTCTTCGCCGCCGCCCGCGACAGCTGCGGCCTGATCATCAACACGGAGAAGCCGGTGGTTATGCATCGAGCGCCACTCGACAATGACTACATCGCACACCAAATCAACGCGAACGGCGCCCAATTGCAAGTCGTAAACATTACCTACTTTGGCACCACCTTTTCTCGCAAAAGTAGAAACAGAGATTCAGTGGCCCGCTGAACTTCCAAGGCCAGTCAATCTTCGTCGTCTGCAAAGCACGGGCTGGAACCGACACGGTCTCCATCTCAACATTAAACTGAAAATGTACAGGGCAGTTATCCTGCCGACGTTGCTGTGTGGAGCGGAGACTTGGACGCTGTACAAGGAGCAGGTACCTTGATTAAATCATCCCCACCTCAGTTGCCTTCGACGGATACTGAAGCTAAGATGGCAGGACCGGATGCCGAACGCGGATTTACTGGAGCAGACAAGAATCCTCAGCATTTATGCCATGCTGAGACAGCTGCAACTGCGTTGGAGAGACCACCTCGTGCGGATGAACGACGAGCGGTTGCCCAAACGATTCTTCTACGGAAATTTCGCCACGGGTTGCCGCTGGCCAGGAAGCCAACTCCGGTGCTACAAGGATACCATGAAGACCTGCCTAAAGAGCCTACAAATCGACCCGACCAACTGGGCGAACCTCGCCCCGGACTGACCGACCTTGCGGACAGCAGTGAATACTGGCGCAGAGATCTACGAAGCCAACCGCATTACCGCCGCCAAGGCCAAACACGAAGCTCGTAAATCTCAACTGAACCCGCCTCGCAACGCAACAATCAACCGCCTCTGACCTGCCCACGCTACCAGCGGACGTTCCGGGCATCAATCGGTTTCATTGGACATCTTCATACTAACTACAGCACTCGGACGACACCACCCGATGTCCCCCCGTCGACATCTTCCTCGTCATCCACGCCGACAATCAACATTGACCGCACTCCCGAATCCCCACTACCATCCTTCCCCTCCTCCTTTTCCGCCTTCTCCTCCATCGCCTTAAAATCCGCCGCGGCGGCTCCTGCACCCAGCGTCACTGCACTCAATCCTAACACACCCACAAAAATCAACCTCATCAACACCAACACCAGCGATGTGGACTCGGCCCATTTCTGTCCTCATTGAAATCGCACCTTCACCTCACAAATCGACCTGGTCGATCATTAGCGAATCCACCGCACAGAGACTGACGAACCAATGCCTCGAGCACCAACATACGCCAGACGCATCCGCCTCAACTGCTTTCACTGCACCCGCACATTTACCCACCGCATGGATCTACTAGGCCACATGCGCCTTTACGAAAACCTGCGGTAAACAACCGCCGGCTACACTACAGGATCACATCTTCGCTAACTTGCAACACACAACTTCATTCCCCACCACAAGCATCAAACTGTCACGTCCCGCGCAAGCGGGAAGTGTGCGGCTCGACTCCGTCTCTATGCGGCCCATCTGCTGCGTGTGATTCGAGTCTGAAGCTATCACTTTGCGTCAAGCACCATGGCTTGGAAGGGTTCTGACGGCCGCCCCAAATCAGTCTACGCAGTCTGCCCAGTTGTGCATGTATGTGTGTGGTGGCAGACTGATGGGCTAAGAGCCAGGCTGAAACGGTTCCTTTTTTAAAATGACCTAAGACACTCTCACGCACGTGAGATGTACGCCGCTCAATTCCCATTGCGTGAAATCCTGGTGCTTGTGCTTGGGCGGCCAGATCGTCCATGTGGCACTCGCAGACAAGGCCACTAGATATGTCAGCCACAGCGACCATTCCCCGCACCTATCAACTGATCGGCTCGGACAGTGACTGGGGCCTGGGAATGGGAAGGGAGAGTGAGATCGACGACTCACCGCATTTTCCCCACTATAATTAATCTGACGCGCCTGAAGCTATCACGGTGCGCGAAAGCCGTGTCTTGGAAGGCTGCCAACTGACGGGATAACTTGGACCTCTCAGTCGGCCCAGTGTTGTGTGCGTTGTGTGGAGCGGCCGACTGGTGGTCTGAGAGTCAGGCTGCGATGGCTCCTTCTTAATGTGACCTTTATGGCGGTCCTACTCCGTGGAATCCGTGTCAAGTGTGACGGCACGCCTAGGTGTGGTATCGGCCATGCTAGCCACCCTTTTGCTGTTGATTAAAATCCTGGCCATTTGCTTCGTGGACTAAAGGGTGTGGAGTGAAGCGCCAAGGTGCGGGCTCGACTGTGACATCCACCCGCGACCTCTCTCACCTCCGGTCCTCTTGACTATGTCTTAACACCGGGTCCGGGTGGGGGGAGGAGTAAGTGCGGTAGCTGCTGCGCAAGTTCAACTTCAGTGTAAGTTAAATCGTTCAATGGTCTTTGTCGGTAATACCATTCTGCCTATACATCATGCGCCGCTTTGCGTCTGCTGGTTGGGCTCGAGAGAGAGTCCTTAAGGCACAACGGAACGAGTGAGTTCCGTATGAACGATCGTTGAGCGTCCCCTACCATTGTATCTTCCCGATCGAAAACCGACAGGGCAACGGGCTCGTGGCCCGATGGGTAGAGGCGTGGACTTCTAAACCAACAGGTCGCGAGTTCGAGGCTCGGGTGTTCCACACTTCGGGCTGGGGTATGGCTGGCTGACGACTCTAATAAGCCAGAAATGGCCATTCCAGTCTCCCTTGTCTTTGTCGGTAATACCATTCTGCCTATCCGATGACTGTTGACTGAATAAATTCGTGACAGTTCAATTTCAACCTACCCTTATCTCTGCCTTCACTCTCTCATACAGATGTGCATAATCCTTAGGAGAGATGTTTATGCACCAAACTGTTATGCTTTGAAAAGATTGTAAAAAAAGCACTACTCAACTAAAAGAGCGGGAAAATTGGATTGACGCATATGGACCGGATAATCTATTTAATTTTATCGCCTTAAACAATGTTAACGATAGGGGAGCGACAGATCAGGCGACGGATCAGTAAATCATTAAATGCTCATGTGCGAACACAATATGCAACCAGAAGACATAATCTGACTTGCTTTCAAAATATTTACTCGATATCCCACCACTATCGCTTTCATACCAAAAAAGTCTTTGTCAGGCTTGAAGTCACCATTTGCAAAGCAATTTCAAAGCATGGTGAATAGGTAAGTCATCACGCACCCGAAGATACTTTGGTGAAGCTTGGGCCTACAGACTCATGGAAGGGTTATTGAGCAGTACATAATAAATTTAGATAATATGATTGCAAAGCAATCACAAAAGGGGTCCGGATCGGATAGGTTCAAATAAAAAATGTTTAAACTTTTTGATCAAAATTGTCAGCGACAGTGTGATAATTTGTCCCATTTCCCAAAGTAATTTGACTCACTGAAACGTGTCTTTTGTGAGCTGAGTCAGCCTCACTGTTCATAATAAACGGGCTGCTTTAATGTGATTGGTTGTGCGCCCAGACTGAGGATGACGTTACCCGATGAAGGACACATTCTGCATTATTGTTCCCAGACAGCTACTTTACCACCTGGATATTTGAGCGATTGTGATGGGGTAGGGTGGGGAGGAGAGATTCTGTGTCACACGGAATTCCTTGTTTAATGTCGAATTCGTGCCATGTTTTTCTCACCATGGAGGGGTTAGGGATGGGCGGCATGCCTTGTATGACCCAGTTCTGAGACGCCTCTATCACACTGGCATTCGAACGCACAACACAACTCGGTTTAACGACCATCTGCCTGTTGGACTTGTGAAGGATTGCTAGTGGAGTGTCGGGACAGATATACGACCTCCAGTTCCGTCGCAAATGAAAATTTTACTGAATATAAAACCTCTCCCTCTGAGTGGCGGTTCCTGCGACTTTGGTTGTTCCGACCAAAACCGAGGGGGTAATAAACCTATGCTAACAAGTCCCTCAAGTAACATATTTGCTGGCACTGAAACACGTTAGGAGGGATAATTCTAGGAGACGAAGGACAAGCGGTTGAACAAAATCAAAAGACGAAGCAACTGTTGACAAGGCACCCCGAGAAATGCGTACTTTTAGTTTATGTTAGAATTTCGAAGCTTTCTGCATTTTATTGTCTGATATCATCCTGATGACTACGAAGAAATACATTTGAAACAACTGTTATATCATTTATTGTTGAGGCACAGAAGCTCAGGCCTGATAGACTGAAATGGCGCATCCATCTAGTGTTATGGCACGCGAATTCAACGCACAGTCTTGGCATAGGAAGAGCGGAGCAGCATTAGTGCTTTGTCTCATCAGGCGTATGGTTCCCCTGGGATTAATTTTCTTGATGTTGACTCATCCAAGAAAACATGCTCTCAGCCAATGATCGTTCGAATTAAAGCATGGAAGATTCGGACAGTGTGCGATTTGATTTTGGATAGTGGAATAGGTTTTCAAACGCAAAAGCATGTGGTCCATCAGGTCGCATAAGCTACCGTCTGTTTTGATCCAAGTACACGTGTGAATTCACGTACAGTCTTTGCGAAAGCATTAGACTATCAAAAGGCAGTGCGCTTGTCGTAGAAACTTACGACAGCATATTCCGTCGAATTGCTTTTCTACAGACGTTTAGGGGAGGGTATTCGTTGATCGTGGCTAAAAGATGGAGTCTTCGACCTGGATGGCTTTGCCTGCTACAGACCTTATCTTTGATGCGCTGGTGCAATCAAGTAAAAAAATTGATTGTCGGCGACGGCTCGTAAACATGTTCCGCAATTTTCCCAGCACGTTTTGGTAGCGAAATTTTATCGGCTGGGACAGGGAAGACAGAAGTGACCGTTTCTGGTTTTCATTCCGCTGTTGGTGAGATAAACCACAACCTCAGACCTGGATTGATTTTTCGCTGTTAGTTAATCGCCTGTGCGTCTGTATTAGGCATTGAATTCAAGGTACGATGAAGTCCGCCATGTTGTTTCCTTTAGTTAGAATTGAGTGGTGAACACCATCCCATGTGACACAGAATATCCCTGATGATTGCATACAGAACGGGAGTCCGGGCTCCATGTGACCAGGGGCATTGACTTGCGATGGCAAACAACTCAGAAACCAACTTTTTAGATTCCACTGTCTTCACTGATAGCAGATCTCGGATATCAGATGCTCGTCATGATGAGATCGTATGTAAGGACGCAAAAGAGAACTCAGAAGTAAAACAAAGCTGACTATATGCAGTCCTGTTACTCTAACAAACCGGTGGATTTTACTCTTGTGTGAACGATAATATATATCTTAATAGTTGGCAGTATTTGGAGGAAAATATGGAAAATTAAGGGGAAACTCTGGGATTTTCGGCCATCACCGGCAAGCCATATCCAAGCCCAAGGTTCGGAACCGCTCTAACTCATTTTTAATCGCAGAGCACCAAGACAAACCGTTTACCATTGGTAGACTGGCTTGCGTCCTACTTACTGCAGTCGAGAATAACAAAGGTTACACCACTGTATCTTCATATCGTTTTCCTTTTCCTTCTCCTCCTCTTCTTCCTCATCGTCGTCACTCTCCGCACAAGGCTCGTGTGTGTTTCATATCGCTCAATTATTTCTAAATATTTTGTGGCGTCTAACTGCTCGTTTCACCCTTTCTTGCCCTTTTTGGTCCCCTTATTTCTCGGCTTCTAGTTTTCGTCCTCCGCCACTTAATCTACGTCGACCGTCACTAATATCGTCGTTACCTTCCTCGAGATAGGTATAACCGACCGAAACATTATTGTTTGCAGTTGTCAGAGCATAAACGCCAACACATGCAACACGACAGATGACATTTTCAAAAATTAATCACAAGGCTCTTAAAAATGTGAAACTTTTGAATGTAACGAAACTGACGGAGTTCTAACAGAAAAATACGAACTCCTGGCCGTACCGAAATATGCTGTTAATGTTAACCCCTAAATACCAGCCAAATTGTCAATTTGATGCTCAAGCAGACTCTCTGAGGATGTCTCGATTTTGACTGTGCAGACAGGGCACGCAGACCTAGCGCCTGGGAAAGGGTGGTGGGCTCTCAGCGTCAGACATTTGGGGCTGCAGCAGCTATTTCGTTTTGCGGAGGGTGGGGGCGGGGAGGGCGTGGGGAGAAAGTTGTCGGCCTAACGGGGGGTGGGGTGGAGATCAGCGCACCGTGTCTGCTAACGGTACCAGTTTTGCCTAGCCA